TTCAATAGATTTACCTTGTTAACTCTGATGTCTCTGCGAATGGTACGGTATAAATCATACTCAATGAAAAAACATATACAGGATAAATTACAACGGTCAACAATGATTCAACTTTGTTTTGCTGATATAGCTTATCACCAAAAAGATTGGTTCAGTGAAAATCTAATTTAAGTAATTCTAGTAACGATTTGTCCAGGGTGTGTGTTCCAGATCTCCACACTAAGATAAAATGTGTCGCATGTGTCGTACTTTACGACACAATGTACGACACATTCAAGTGCGACACGAGGAGCTCGTTGCGACACATTTCTTCCAGCAAGGGCACGACACATAAAAGTGCGACACATGCGACACATTTTGACCACGTGGGTTCGAATCTATTCTTCATCGCTTTTTTCTTTTTTTTGTTTTACAGAAGCGAATAATTCTGTTTTTCAGCTTAAAATAAATTAGTAATACTTATTCGTACAATTCAAGACGGATAGATCTTAAGATCTCTCCGTCTCGAGTCGATTTGATCTCGATCAGACCGCTTCCAGGCAGTCCATTCTGGATCATCTATCGATCTCTGAACATGTGCTCGAATAATGACTATTCGAGAAATAATCTAGAAGAAAAGGCATACAAAAATGTGTAAGTTTAGTCTGTTCAACTGTGTCGGCTATATATAGCTGTGCACGCGAAACGAAACGGTGAATTAATGATTAGCGGACAGACCACGACACATCTATAATACGACACATTCTGACTGCGACGCATTTTTGTAGTGGTGTGCGACACTATCGTGAACGACACATTAGTACGACACATTTTATTTTAGTGTGTCTGCTTTAATTTTCCAATAGAATTTGACATGCTCTGTCTACTAATACCGAGACAAAATGCCTGAACTACATTCTGGACGAATCAATGATAGAAATACTCCGACAGTGCCATGTTGCGCATAGGAAAAAACCAGTATTTTGCAATTGATGAAAAAGATGGCACAATATATGGTGAATCTGATTTCATTATTCGATTGAGCATGTCGAATTCTTCTTGGATAACATCTTGAATGAATAAATGCTGAAATTATTCGAATCGGGTCTTAAATCCATCTACCTGTATCGAAGTCAGTTGATAAGTTATATTAAGCGTTTTCTAATGAACACTCACCAAATAGAAACCTTCTTATGCTGTTCCCTCCTAGCAATATCCATTAACATGAATAAAATTTATTTGATTTGCTAAAAGAACGCTTCAATGATAAAAGTTTTGGCAACAAAATATGAAAAAACTTGAAAAACTATATACCGGTCGTTAAGGAAAAAATTTTGTCTAGCAGCCAGCATATCAACCGCTCAGAACTCATCTACCAAATCAAGCCAGAGCAATCGTTTACCATTAAGAGTTACAGCTCTCGACTTTCTCTTCTTCTCACAAAAAAAGTGTGTGAAATTGTGAATCTAGTGCACCAAAAAATCTCATTCTGAAGTTGTTCTCTGATTATCATCATGAAATTCTAATGACTTTTTACAAGTTCATTCTGTTTATGTCACAACTCAATATTACACCCTTGGAATCCGCAACAGGTATCGAAAAACTTTGTTATTGTTGCTCTATTAGAAGCTTTTATAGTTTGATACAGCTTTGTGTCAAACGCACTCAGATCGTAAGAAAGATCTGAAGCTCTCTCTGAAAGTTCTACACAAAAACAGTTTTTGACCTGAAATTTCATGAAAAAAGGTTCATTTGATATAAGATTGTTTTCTCTATCACAATCTATTAGAGCCTCTTTGACATTCCAACCTTTTCTATCGATGAGAGTCACATACTGCCCCGAATCGATCAGGCTACTGTAAATAATTTCTCAGTCTTATGAAGTTACAATTTCTACGAATCCCTCCGCAACATTATTTTTTACTGAAGGCATCATGCTCAAGTTGACATTCGACGTCTGGTAAAGCACTGTTGATTTAACCGCTACTTGAAAGCCGATTTATGTCCTTTGGGCTGATATTGGACGGTTTTCAAACAGAATAATTGCCGTTTGACTTCAAAAAAATGTCATATCTGGGATCAACACAATAATTTCTCTCGACTTATTTGTATTTCAAAGTGCTTTTGCAACTTTTTTTCGATCATATTTGCATCTATGGCCCCTCTCAGTGACGTACGGAACAATAAAGTTGATCAAAAAGCTGTTCGGGAGTGAAAACGCAGTTCTAGAGTTTCAAAATGCCATTTAAAGACAAAAGACAGATGGTTCTACGTATTTAAATAGTTGCTTTGATGAAACCCGTATTTCAATATATCCTTGGAGGAATCCAGGTTTGGCAGCGAACCAACAAAACGGATATTGAACCGATTTTTCTGTCAATTATCGCTCGGTTCCGGTTAGATGTTTAAAATCCATCAGGTTAATATTAATTATGAGATCACTGAAGCTAGTCTATTTCCACTCATTGTTATCAATTGCAACAGTTTTCACAATCTATACGTATGAAGGTGAAAGTTTTCAACTGACAAGTTTCTAGTTGTCATCAAAGTCCCCGCTTTAATTTTGAACTCACACTTTCTCGTAGTGCAATAAGTGGCTCGGATCATGCTAAAGGTATTAGTTATGGTGATAAAAAGTTAACCAGCAATTAGTAATTACACTTGGTACAGACTAAACATGTTGAGCCTTGAGATTTCGAACTCACTTTTTCTCGGCTAGTTTTCACCAACTGTTGAATATAAATATGATAAAAAATTCCGTTTTGTGGTGGAAGTTCTGCCAGTTGCTATCTCATACAAAAGTGACAATATCTAGCTACTAGGAAACCTATAAATATGAAGACTGGTATAAAAACCGAATTTTGCTGCTGAATTTATCTTCCTACTGGCAGTCATAGATTTATACGAATCGGAAAGCCTTAAAATCATTTTAAATATTGATTTCAACTTAAAAAACGTCAGACTTATTAGTTCATATATAGAAGCAAGTAATACATCAGCTCTATCAGTCTCCCTTACCTTGATCCTGAAAGCAAGACAAGATAGTATAAAGCATTGCCTTCTATGTTGTTAAATACATTCTTAAATGAGACTGAAATAAAATTCAAGAAGCTTTAACTGTTTAAATCATCATCAGGTAGCGTTGAAATCTATTAAATTTTTGAGGGCCTATACTTTGTCATTATTTGGTATCTAAAACATATCTATTTACAGTAATCGTGGGACATGTTTCACTAGATTCTGTTCGCAAAAGTGTGTAGCATATGCATATGTAACATATAATTTATTAAAAAATATAAACGCTGTCAAGACTAGTTTCAATCATTTAAAATACTTGAGACGTTTCCCGTGTGACTGAATCACTTCCAAGATCGAAGAGGAAATATTTTTATCCTGAAAGGTGAGTTATGTAACAGCTTTACGATAAAAATTTTACACATATACGTTTTGTTTTGCTTACATATGCTAAGTTTATTGTTAATGCGAGATGTGAGTGTGGGTATCCCTGTGCAATCTGAATGTGATTGTTGATTTGCATATGGATTTTGTGTGTGATTGACGCACTATGACTCTGAACTAATTGGATGATGAACAAACGCACAGCTCGGTTGAATTTTTAACAGACAAATGTGTGTTTAAGACTCACATATCAAAATTTTTGACTGCAAACACGTTGACCGTTCTCAAAACTCATTCGACGAGAGTCAGATCCAAAAAATCTATGATGGCTTTAAACTGAAGTGGGAACACACAATTTGAAGAGGTATTGGGTTTCATATTTTATATAGTTCTGTCTCGCTTCATCTTAACGATACCTATAGTTTTTCTTACTTTCGTTCTGGGACGAACAAAACGGAGATTACTCACTGAGTGTAGAACTGCTTTCAGTATGAGAAATGAATAGAGCATATGGAAAAGTTTCCAAGGGAGTGTGGGACGGTATGCATATATGTATTCCAAGACCTCTATATTAAAGAGGCATAGATTTAGTAATATGGAATCTGATTATATCAATGAATACAGGTCTTCAGGTTTGTGAGATCTTTATCCAACTATACTCTACTTTTTATCTGTCTATCT